TCAGAGAACACAACTAATTCAATACCGGATAGTCTCGTCAGCCTTCAGCGTAAGTGTGTGTGCCTTCCACACTCTAGTAACTGAAGATTTTGTTTTGATCAATTGAGTTCTAACTAACTAACACAGTGATCACAAAATGTTCTTACGTTGGTGAGAGCTGCGCTATATCACGAGAAGACAAACTTAGAATTCTGTGATCATTGAATCTCTAACCAACTGGCTGATTGGTCAAGTAGCTTGATTTCTCAGCCTGAAGGTCTTGAGTTTGGTGGCTGGTGGGGTGATGGGTGCTCACTGTATCCACCAAATTTTTTCGGTTATGGCCTGAACGCAAGAAACCGATTGCTACGTTCTACTGTATGGCTGACAAAACTTCTTTGAGATACGCATTATCCCAAAACGTTTCAAACGCAGGGAAAAGATGATTACTCTCCAGGATTTTAGAGGTTTTGGTGTGGTTGTGTTCTCTGAGCTGGATGGTTTGGTTGCGAAGCTTTCATTGCTCTACTGAGCAACATCTTCAGCGCATACTTCGATGTGAAGTGAGCTTTTAGAATTCTCTATGAATTTATTAGTCATCTCTTCTAGTGACCCTGAACGTGATTGGTTATTTTCGTGTGACATTTCATCCCCTAGTTTGCTTGTCTGGGTGCTGGCTGCTTCTTTGGTCTGAATGTCGTTAGTCATTCCTTCTGCTAACCTTGAACGTGATTGGTTGTTTTTGTGTGACTTCTCACTTTCTAGTTCACTTGTTTTGATGTTGAAATGAAAGCTTCGCAACCAAACCATCCAGCTCAGAGAACACAACCACACCAAAATCATCCACCTGAGCTACAAATCTTCTCTATTATATTTTAGAGGTTCTATTAAACAATAAAAACATCAAACTTAAATCACCTCAGTAGTACGGTGAGAAAGCTATACAGATAATGTACGTTTCTAAATATAGAACAAGTACTGTAAGATAAAATTAGTTAACCAAAGTTAAACTGCAAAAGGTAATTTAGAATCAAGGAGAATATTCTCAACAAGGTGGGATCAACAGCTCTGCCGACAAGAGTCATACACCAACGCTTCCCGGGTCAGAATGACCTTCATTCACTCAAACAAAATCATATCCTTAAACAACACATTGTCAATGTACACATATAACCACAAAGGAGTATTACAATTAAAGATCAAACAAGGACTACGGCAAATAATAAAGGTCACAAAATCGACATGTGATATGCAAATGTCAGATTAATGATACACAGTCTATGGGAAATACGTATACTAGTAACAAAGTCAGCTGAAATGTCTAAATAAGTATAAACATTATAAACAGATAGTCCAGGAGGGATTTTCTAAGCAATTTGTCCATTACACTTACTGTTAAATTGTCCTGAACTAGGACGAAACGGCTATCCAGTGCTCAGTGGTTTTCAAAGGTCTCTTTAAATGATGTTGGTATGTGACGAAATCTAAGAATCAATATCAGATTCATTGAAATCCCCATATATCCCATAATCAATGAATATCCTTGTGTTTCATTGAGGTTACCTTTCATCGAAATCCTCAGAGAATGTTTCATGACCAACGGACTTCCTTCTAACACTGGAAAAGAAGAATTCGTGTGTGGTACTCAATCATCATTCTAAGGGTTTGCTGGATGAAGAAGAAGTAAACTTGCCATACTTTTCTCAACCACAATACCTCCTACTTTTGAAAATTCATGAATTTCCGAGCGACTGTCTTAGTAGACATCCAAGAAAGATGAATTTTAGTGACTGAATGATGGATCTTCAGACGAGAAGCCATAAAACTGTTTAGGTCAACTTCGTTGAGTATGAGGACGCTTAAATCAGTACTAACATTGAACGATTGTTGTGATAACTATTATTACTTATAACAGATTTCCTTAAGGCACAATATAACCTCAGGAGATTCAAGTTTTATCAGGTAGAAGTTAACAGACTGTAGTCGATAATAACTGATTTTAGAAGTCACCGTCAATTATTCACTATAAGCAAATGAAGTAAATAAGACAAATTCAACTAAAAAAAATTGCATAAAACGATAATTTTTGTAAGCCATAATAAACTTACCTTCTATTTCTATGCTTATCTACATTGCATTCCTGATAAGCTGGTTATTTACGTGAGAAAGAACATAACGGTAGCAATGCTACACGTTAATGAAGTTAAAATATATATTCTCATTCATTCTGTATGATTATTTTTGTTCAGTACTCAGTTCAGTGTTTTTATTTCTTATTGCATCTTCCAAATATGTTTACCAGTTAATACGTACACAGTAAAAGACAAGAACTGGAAGGCCAGAGATATTTAGTGACATTTATAAACATATTTTCAAGTCTTATAGAGTGAAAGATCCATAAATATTCTAAGATGCTATCGTATATGGTTCAATAGCATTAAATCATTCATAGTAACTCAAAGGTGAATGAATCCAAGCCTGGTGTGATTTGCCAAAGAAACTGTCATTTAAATAATACATTTCCCATCATTGTATTATCCTGATAATTGATTCGAGTTCTAGTGGGAACACTGGTACTTACTGGGTGGGGTTGTAGGCACATCTTGGATTCCACTACCATCTGTCATCGCCTAGAGAAACGGCGACTTCAATTTATTGAAATTTGAAAAATGTTTGTTATTTTTAACATGCTTAACCAGAACTTGAGTAGTTTGAAATGATTCGGCTATCTAAGCTGGATCTATCTAGATATCCGGGCAACGGATTTGAACCCAAAACAAGTGAAGTAGACATCCTTAGCTTAATTTGCCTCCATCTGCTTGATGGTTTTGGTTTAAGTGGGTGGTTTTCATCCACTCATGTCAGTGAGTCGTATGTCCCGTACCACAATTTTTGCTAGCTGTAAGGTATCATGTAAGTTGTTTGCAGAGGAAACGGTTCTGAAATTTCACTGGACAAAGCATACTTCTATTCGTTTAACCACTTTTTAATTCTATTCTTCCAGCTTCTCAATGAAGATTACGCCGCAGGCCGGTATTGCTTAAAGAATCACTGAGATCTAAATAGAACTAGAGAGCTGCTTGATCCTAGTGTGAGATTCTTTAACAGTGGGTACTCGTGATCGCAACAGGAAGTGTATCTGATACCTTCAGACAATTAGCCATGTACATTTACCATTCAAGCACTGGGGTAGGGTCTAATTACCCAAAAATTCTAATTTTTTTAACCATTCGTAAATTCAGTGACTTTTATAGTTGTTTCGTCCATGATACTGATTTTCTGTCTTTTGGAAACTGCAGTCGCTAGGAATCTCTAAACTCTTCTTTTTCAAAAGCGTCCTATAAATAGCCTGAGGATATCCTGTTAGTAAATTTTAAAAAATCATGCGTCGTAATATTCAACTTTCCAACTTTGTTTACACACACGAGTAACAAATTGTTTAGATATGTGATAAAGTGCACTCGGAATAAAATGAGTGTTATCAATAAAATATAATACGATGGGAAGTAAGACGAATGCTGTCAGTGAATAAGATGAGTTTCGTCAGTGAAATAAAATGACTAAAATATTAGAATGTGATAACGTAAATTGTAATAAAACAAAATCTTGCGATCTGATTGGTAGTAATGTCTTCAATATCTCTGGTATAAGTCCCGAGTTATTTCTATTACGTGTGCTGGGTGGAGATTCGATGAACAAAGATTCAGTAATCCACCTCTCTGAGGAGTATTGGATGAATGAAATGTGAGGTGTGAGGGGAAGAATACAAGGAAATGGAGGTGGAATTTTCGAGTGTGCAGACCACCTGCTGTCAATGAACACTATCCTGATCGGTGACAAATGCAGCAGTGGTGCACTCGTAAATCGGACGACACTGATGCCACTGATTCAGTCATGTGACCAGTTGATCAAGAAAACGGCTTACTCTGTGCATCCTACGCACCCACGACAGCCACCACACTCACGCTCGAAAACACAAACCACAAGACACAGACTCACCAGACTACAACACCTGTGTGCACGAATGCAGAGTGGAGAATGACGTCCAACGAGTTGGAATATATGTGCATATCTATAAATATATCTAATATATTTCCACACTGCACACACTCACAGACACACGTATATATATATGTACATGTATATGCGCATTGGTGCAGACTGAATTGTGTCAGCCAGTCTGTCGTCACACTGACTCGATAGCTTATGACAGACAGGTGGCCATGGCACTGTGATGTCTGTGAAGGAGTGATTGGAGTGGTGAAGTGGTCGGTCGACTGAGGCGACGGCTGTCCCATCTCTCGCTGCATCCAGTGCACAGGTGAAACACGCAGCACTGATTGATAGTTGGTGCACTCACGACACGCGTGGATGACACATGCACACTGTGCACAGAATCGCCGTCGCCATCGTTGATTGGTGGTGACGGGATGATATGAGGATTGAAAGGAGGAGGTGGAGTGTACATGCACGATCTGTGTGAGTGTGGGATATGGGGAATTGTGAGATGTGTGATTGATGGATGTGTTTGTGCTGCGTGACAGACGGGCCCGGCTAGCTCAGTCGGTAGAGCATGAGACTCTTAATCTCAGGGTCGTGGGTTCGAGCCCCACGTCGGGCGTCCTCGTGTGTGTGCGTGTCCGGTGGAAGTCAGTGTCTGCTCAGCGCGCACTTTTGAACGCACCTCACACACTCATCGTCGCCGTCACCACACAGTGCCCTGTGACGACACACTTACACATACACACAATCACAAATCAACACAAACACACCGACCATTACAATCACACTCACACTCACTCACATGGACTTTTTGCTAACACCAATGTGTAGGAGATTCACGTGATTGATTGGCAGCGATAACTTGTGCTCGCAATACCGTTCAGTCAGTAATGCACCATGAATATCACCGTGTCCATTGTCGAGTGAGCTTATGTGACATGGAGAGTGGGAGTGGATAGGAGAATACGAAGACGATGATTTGGAGTAGGGTGGAGAATCGGAGGAGTGGAGGAGTGTAGATGACTGAAATAACGGCGTATGATGACGATGACGATGACGATGACGATGACGATGACGATGACGATGACGATGACGATGACGATGATGATGACGATGATGATGATGATGATGATGATGATGATGATGATGATGATGATGATGATGATGATGATGATGATGATGATGATGATGATGATGATGATGATGATGATGATGATGATGATGATGATGATGATGATGATGATGATGATGATGATGATGATGATGATGATGATGATGATGATGATGATGATGATGATGATGATGATGATGATGATGATGATGATGATGATGATGATGATGATGATGATGATGATGATGATGATGATGATGATGATGATGATGATGATGATGATGATGATGATGATGATGATGATGATGATGATGATGATGATGATGATGATGATGATGATGATGATGATGATGATGATGATGATGATGATGATGATGATGATGATGATGATGATGATGATGATGATGATGATGATGATGATGATGATGATGATGATGATGATGATGATGATGATGATGATGATGATGATGATGATGATGATGATGATGATGATGATGATGATGATGATGATGATGATGATGATGATGATGATGATGATGATGATGATGATGATGATGATGATGATGATGATGATGATGATGATGATGATGATGATGATGATGATGATGATGATGATGATGATGATGATGATGATGATGATGATGATGATGATGATGATGATGATGATGATGATGATGATGATGATGATGATGATGATGATGATGATGATGATGATGATGATGATGATGATGATGATGATGATGATGATGATGATGATGATGATGATGATGATGATGATGATGATGATGATGATGATGATGATGATGATGATGATGATAAGCTCGAGATCAGCAGTTAGTTTTTATTCAGCTGCTTCTAAGGCCATATCGATTGATATATTAGTGTAAAGACTGTTTATATCGAAACAGACCATTTTTCTCATTATTCCCTAATTGAATTTCATTCAGTGTCTTTTTCGTTTCATATGAATTAGTTAACCTAGAGTTTGAACGACTTCTAGTGGAGCATATCATTAGAACTAGGTGTTTTGATAATTCATAAGTAGGGGTATTGCTGAAATCTACTATTGGTCGTATGGGGTATAACCTGGCTTGTGTATTTTAACAGTACCATATATTCTACTAGCATTATTAGTTTTAGGCATTAAATTAGGCCATTTAGATTCATCCAGTGATGGCTTCATTCTGCGTATTAAATCCGCTGTAGATTTCATAATCTTATTCATTATGGTATCTACAAGCCTCTTAATCTCCTCATATGGTCCCGATGTAGCGTGTTTAATGACTTCGTTGGTATAATCCGATTTATCCAAAACTACTGTCAAGTTTCTCTTATCAGCCTTTGTAATGATGATGTTTTTATCCTGAGATGTACTGTGCTTTAGTTCATTAACTATCACGTTAAAATTTAATCCTTTCTCAAGTACCTTTATCTCACTAGAGCTTAGTTCTCGTGGGGAGGGGTTAATCACCCATTTTGTTTAATTACTAGAAGATGAAACATTGCTGTCAACATCTTCATTTACTGTGTTGCTTTTTTTTCTTTTTTCAGTTTGTTGAATTTTCTAATTTGCGTGTTTCTTGATTTTCTTAGGGCTGCTTCTGTGGCTTTTTGGATGTTTCAACTACAATTTCAAAATCTTTACCATTGATGATACATTCGAGTTTGTATTTGAAACGCCGTCAGTAAATAATATAGTAAAACAGTATGAGAAGTTATCAAATAAATTTACTTTATGATGGTTAATAAAAAACTTGCATATTGGTTATATGATGTCCATCATTATAAGGCGAAAATTGGATTGCCCAAGATCATTTTGTTTTTCATTCATTGGGAGATAATAAAGATTTCTTTGAAACCATAATTCGTTAGTGAAGAAACTGTATCCATTCCATTACAGCTGTTGGTAGATTCACTTTTTTGTGAAATAAAGACAAACTGCTTAGTTTTTATCTTACTTATGTGTATTTATTGGTTTAATTGTACTTGTCAAGCTAGTCATACTGAAGTACGATTGAACAAGTTAGGTCAAATGAAGGATAGAAAAGAATGGAACCACATATTTCATACTTACACATTTTTTCAATATAAAACATAAAATTTATAGTAGAAGCTCTTTATTGCACTTTATCTGACCCTATATATATATACTTTGAGGATCTTTGGTTCAGTGGTAGAATGATCGCCTACGATGCACGTAGTCCAGGGATAGATTCCCGATCGACACACACCTAAACCTCCTTAAGCTTGTAGTAAGTCTGGGAAAGAAAGAAGGTTGGGATTGGAGGCATCAACCTCACCCCATTGGATAAAAATAATTCCTACCGCTACTGAAACTTCAAAGCTCAGTCGTGAGGACCTATGTTCCATTTGGAACGCAGGTGAATGATATTACATATATACATACTTTGAGAGTTCTCCGTTTACAAAGATCAGAAGCAACCGGAATTCATGTTTTAAATTAAACCTGTATGTTTAGAAGAAATTATGACAGTCATTTTTTTTTCTTGCCCCTAGCTAATAAATCTCAGTATGCACAAAGTGTGCGTCGGTGGCACAGCGGTAGAATGCTCGCTGATTGCGCATGTGGTTCGGGGTTCGATCCCCGGCCGATGCACTCCTTCACCTCGCTAAACCAGTAATAATACTGGTAAAGAAGGAAGGTTGGGCATGAGGCTATCAACCTCATCCCGTAAAAATAGACGCCACTGCTACCGAAACTTTAAAGCTCTGGCTTGGAGCCCTATGTTCCACTGGGAACGTAAAGGAATAAAATTTTTAAAAAAAATAAACACTGTATAAAAAGTGATCTCTAACTATATCCATCCAAAAATCTATCTCACCTTTTACAGTAGTATTACCATTGCTACTACTATTATTATGATTGTTTTAGCTATTTCATTTCCACTTGCAAACTATCGATAATGTAATAATCTTAACACAATTAAGTTGTACAATTATTGTATTGGCTTATGTTATGATTTATTACTTCCTATAATAAGTTGAAAAAAATGTTAGTAGTTTTATTCTGTCTGTCAACCAACAGACTAGTTGGACAAATTTCCATGCTAAGTCAACCAAAAAAATATTGATGTGTGCATTTTGCCTTCCTTTTTAAGGATTCAGCTGTGATGTGATTTTAAAAGGTAGAAAGTTTGCTTCCAGTGAATCTCAATATGAGATGGTCCATTTCGATCCAATGGAATTAATTATTATTATTATTGTTTCCTTTAATTCCTAGAGGAACATAGGCCTTCAGCCGTGCGTCTCCATTGCGTTCGGTTCTCTGCTAGAGTCTTCACCTGGCTCCATGTCTGCCCACACGTTTTCATCTCCTCTTCACATGACCTCCTCCAAGTCACCCTTGCACTGACGACCAACTCGCCACTTCCCTTTCGGGTTCCACTCGAGCAATGGCTTGTCTAGTGATGTCACTTGATGGTTTCCTCAGAGTATGGCCAATCCACCTCCATTTCTTCCTGCATATTTGTTTCACAATCGGTTCCTGGGTTGCTCCCAGAGATCCCTGTTGCTGATCTTTTCTGGCCGGCCATCTGATCTTGAGTATTGAGCGAAGAAAGCTGTTGATGAAGGTCTGTAGTTTGTTTGAGATGCTCTTTATGACGCGCAGTGCAAGTCTCTGATCCGTATAGTAGCAATGACTGACTTCACATTGGAGTTGAAAATCCGGATCTTATTTTTGATGCTGAGTGTTGTTGACCTCCACACAGACTTGACGTGAGTAGTGAAAGCTTGTCTTGCTTTTCCGATTCTTGCTTTGATATCCTCGTCAGTTCCGTCCCTGTAGTTGAAACGATGCTTCCCAGGGTAGGTAAAGGAGGTTGTTTCTTTCAGGTTCCTCCCATTTATGCTGGCTGATTGTTGTCTGTTGTTGTTGTTGCAAAATTCAAAGTCCAGATGATAATCTAAACTTATTTCTCCAGGAGGCAGTTTTTAAATGACTCAGATATCTGGTGGATGTAACTGAGATGCCTGAAATGATGGACACACGGTTTGAATAACATTTGTGACATTATCAATCACTGTAATGCAAATGCAATCAACTAGTGACTTTATTGATTCGGTTGTGACTGCAGAGTGTATCGCATTCATTCATTGGCTGAAATTTCAAACAAGAAGGGAGATTTCAAGCTAATCCAGTGACTCTTTTCTTTACAGAAATTAAAATACTGAATAGTGATGGCCTTCTCAAGTTCCTACAGGTATATGTCCGCATTAATTAAACAATAATTGTTATTCATCGTACATTCCAATGAAGTAAATCTAGCCATAAAATTTATATGAGAGAAAGAATGCTAGAGTAAAGTTAACTTCTTGGTTGTTCTTCTTTCAAAGGAAATCAGATGGAACTGCAAGAATGAATTTACATTAGAGTTCCTGAAATGGAGTTTCGTTTCCCTCGAGTACAAAAGAAATTCAATAAAAGCAGTTATAGGATGGGAGCTCTGTGTGTTTCCGAAAGGTGTGACTGAAGATTAACTAAAGATCGCATACAACATCTTAACTGAAAATAGATATTATATAGATGAGTGAATAACAAAGAAAACAAGTACAAAAATAAAAAGGAAATACTTTTCATCCGAGAACAAGAAATCACTCTGTATGTGATTGCAATTAAGAGCAAATTGCCAGTTAAAACGTTCACAGAGTTTTACACTCCGATAAATTGCAACTGATTTTATATTGGTCCATTTGTGATATTCAGTCTGAAAGACGAAGCACCATTGGCTGACCACTTCTTTTTGAGTTTATCAAATGAAATGCTCATTTGAAGTCATTTGGTTACATTGACTGTTCCCCTGGTAGCTCAATTTTCTGTTGTTAGGATAACTTATCAGTATGGGGTCAGCAAGACTTCATTGAAAAGAATACTAACAGATCGATATTAGTACACAGGATACAAACAAACCATAGAGCAACTATTGAAAAATCATTCTCGATAGTTTATGCTTTGCCTAAAAAACAACCAAAATCCACCATTTAGCGAATACTATGAACAACGAAAGCCACAGTCATTCTTTGAAAACAATTGCTACTACATAAGCAAAATACACATGACTAACTATGCTCTAAAATGGAAACTGCAAATTTTCAAATATAACATTAAGTCACATATTGTTGGTGTGACCGTAACTATTATATATATATATATATATATATATATATATATATATACATTAGTACTCCCTTGAATCCGAGTAAAGTATTGGGTTGCAGCAGAACGTCTCCACTTAGAGCTCTTCCCTTCAGTCCTCTTCATCTGGTTGCACAATTATCTATAGGCTCCCGTTTCCTTCTCACAACATCTCCTCAACGTAACCCTGATATTCAGGCCCAACCCTTCGCTTCGCATTCATCTTCCACACAAAAATCTCCTCAGCGTGTGTGCGATCCATCTCCATTTCATCAACAGTATTCGTTGGGAAATACATTCTCAGTTGATTCACTCAACTGCTGAATCACTTGTTGAGAACAAATTCTGGCCAGTCATCTGATTTTCATTGTAGAACAAGAAAACACAGATGTTGACAAAAGTGCAAAGACCATGCGAAATCCTCTCTTCATGATGCACACATCAAGTCTCTGAAACACACTGAAGCACTGACTGACTTCACATCACTCTCTTCGATGTTCGAATCTTGCCCGTTGTGCTGAGTGCAGTAGACTTCCACACTGATTTCACAATAATGAATGTCCATCCTGCTTCCGATTGGGACTAGCTCTAACATCCTCCTCCATGCTACCTGTACTTGAAACGAGGCTTAGATGGGTGAAGGAATTAGCCTCGTTCAAACTTATTCTATTGGTAGTGATTGA